TTATTTTTTTTTTAAAATTTTTTTGTTATGCATCTATATTTTTATTTTTACTTAAATTTAATATTTATAAGTGTCTTTCATTTTCATTTTTTTAGTGAATTCTATTGTTGGATTTTTTTGTGCATTAAAGCCTCAATGTTTGTTGGCTCTATATGCAAATATTTTTCAAATTATGTTGCTCTGTTTTTAATAAATATAATCCCTTAGCATGTTAGCCTTACAATTTTTATTGGTGGTTTTTGAATATTTATCAAATTTTGTTATTCTATTCATCCCAATATTATTGTTTAAATAGTTTTTTTATTTTTTTGTTATGCATACATATTTTTATTTTAATACATTGGAAGCATATTTAACCAAACTAGAAATGGGCGCACACTTTGTGATGTACCTGGCCAAAATGCAAGGTCTGATCCCATTTGAGTAGTTAGTTGTATATGTTTCATTTTGCTTTCAGATATCTGTGCAACAGCTGATGCAACCCTTTAATTTCATTACTGCTCAAGCGTGTCTAATATGATTGTTTCTGGTTTGACTATTATTATGTGATTTTGTATTATTTTTTGGTTCATTTATAATTAGGACAATAAATTGTGGGACATTATATTAGCATTTTTATTTTTACTTAAGTTTAATATTTGTAGGATTCCTACTGGTGAAGGGGTTCACATTGAAAAGTTGAGCACGGTAGGCTCTGGCACGTTGTCACTTGATGATGAAATTTTGCAGAGGAAAACTATTGTGGAAATTAAGGAGTATAGAGAAGTAATTTTTAAGCTGTTTTTCTCATTTTTATTTATAGATATTATATTTTATTATTTTTTATCTACTTAATGTGTTATATATTTTTATTTGTAGGTTATGACTTGTTTGACTCTTGCTGAGATTATTTTGATTGAATCTACACGTAACTGGTTCTACAAATCCTCTTATAATTGTACAAATAGTGTTGAGCAGGACTTTAGAATATGGTATTGCAGAAAATGTGATAAGGGATGGTCAAATCCTAGACTGAGGTTTGTGATTTGAAATTCATAGAGTTTTTTTTTTTCATAAACATAGAAAAAATATTAAATTTTGATTAAGTTATGGTTTTTAATTATTTGATATTAATTTTATTGTTTTTTTGTTATAAAGGTATTGCATTCGAGTTCGTGTAGTTGATGGAACTGATGCTGTATCTTTCATTCTTTTTGATTCTGCTACAAAGGGATTTCTTAATATTTTTGCTTCTGATTTACGTGATTTACACTTCAAAAGGGTAATTTTTGGTCACCTTCAATATTTATTTTTCTAAGATTTAATCTTTTATATGATATTTTTGATAATATAATTAATTTTAATTATATAAGGGTGGTGATCCTGAAACTTATCCTGTGGAGCTTGATGCTTTGAAGAACAAGAAAATGATTTTTAGGTTGAGCATCAAAGATAATAATATTAACAGTTTTGAAGAATGTCTACAATGTTAGGAAGATTTTCTTTGATGAAAAGATCATTGATAGCTTTTTACAAACAACTGGACAGGTGTGTTTGCTTATATTTATTAAATTTTTATTCTTAAATTAAGTTTAAATTTTTTAAAATTTTTTTTATGATTTAATCATGTAGGAATCTTCTGAAATTCAAAACTTTTCGTGTGATGAGAATGCAAGTATTTTAATGAAAGAATATATTTGTCACGCCCCAAAACCCAAATCCAAGGCGCGACAGACGCCGTACACTCGTGAGACGAGTCCCACAAGTGCACAAGACTCGGAACTTATCATATCACACTCTGATACCACCAAAATCTGAAGATCAAATTATAAAATTCTCTCTGATATCATAAAATCTCCAAATACAATATCATGATTTATTCTAAAGCTTATATCCAATTATAATATAGCTAGCCTTCTAACTCGTTACTTCTCGTGGTTTCTCCGTCCTCGATTTCACTTCCTGAAATGGTAGACAAGGAAAAACTATGAGATAAACTCAGTAAGTAAATATGGAGTGCCCATTATTAAACTTATAGCATGCCAACATGTGCAATCACGCAAATTGGATACAGTACAGGAACGAAATAGACATCTCCTCTATAGGTCACGGCTAGTGTATAATCCTCACTAGCAGGGCCACGATTTGCTGGTGTATAACCCCCACTAGCTGGGTTGAACGAACCAGCTCTATCACTATATGTCGACATATGCTAGCGTTTATAACCTCCCCCACTAGCAGGGTCACGAATAACATGACCACATCGGAGACAAAACAGGCAGAAAAGTTAACAGGAAAATCACAATTCACAATCACTTTTAGATCATCAGGACAGTCACTTAAATTTCAAGTAGGCATGCTCAATTTAATGAAAAGCATAAGACATTTCACTTCAAATCAGTCATACTCGTGCAAAACGGGTTTAGTCTCACCACCACTTCAAAAACAAATCAAAACATACTTTTAAAACAGTACAGGCATTACCATAAATTTACTTACCTCACTTGCATAAAACCGAGCACTCAATTCACGTACTAACTGACAGAACGATCAAAAACCTAATCAAAATATCCACAATTAATTATCGTATCACCACAAATTCAAACTGAAATCATCATTAAGATCACTTTTAATCCCGATGCTATTCCTATCAATCTCCACATGATCAAATATCTCCAAATTCGTTCTTATATCACAAACTAATCACTTAAATCCCTGTTAATAATTGGCCCTCGGGGTGTGAACAGTGTCCATGAACAGTACCATGACGTGAACAGTAACCCCGACTTTCACAAATTGGCCAAAACACTAGCTAATTCCACAGGATTTTCTCCAAAAATCACAGCAACTAATCAAGCTAATTTACACTTAAACCAAGCTTAAAAACATAGCTTAAGATATAAAAATTCATCCCCAATTTCTGCAAACTTTCAGACATCACAGGGGCAGCCAATCCATGGACAAAATTCAACAATTAAAGGGGTAAATTAGGACTTAGAGAAGCTACCACATACCATAAATCCAGCAAGCAAAACCGGAGTGCAGATTGGGGAAGAGGCCGGCGGCAAGTGCAGAAAATTCAGGGGGACTCACGGGTCTACCCAAAATTGAAGGAAATAAGAGCAATCAAAGTTAACCCAAGCCAATTCAAGCAAGAGAAGGGAGATTCATCGCTATTTCTTACCCAAAATCAGAGAAATTCGCCCCCACAAAGCAGGAGCAGCCGGCGGTGAGGAAGGAAGAACAGAGCAGATCTGGATTTTCCAGCAGGGGAAGAAGGATTTCAAGGCTCCAATCTTGCTCTTGAACAAGAAAAGAAGGCCAAAACCAAGCTTATCTCACCGGTTTCTCTAAGGCATGGCTGGGTTCCCCTTTTTTTTTTCTCTTCGGATGGCTGCAGCGGGAAGACAAGAAGAAGAGCAGAACACACGGGCTGGAAGAAGAAAAGGAAGAAAGAAAAAGATAAAGAAAAGAAGTCATCCTTATGCAAAATCTTTCCCTCTTTAAGTCCCTCAGCTTTGGGAATGTTGGCTATTAAGCCCCAAAACAATCTTTTCTCACAATCAAGTCCCTAACTTAAATGGTAAAATTCCCGAAAATTTGGGATATTACAATATTGATGGGTGAGTTTTTACCTTTTAATAAAAATTATGTCAACTCTTTATTACCATCAGTTAGCATGATAGTTTAATTTTAGCACTTTTTAATATTGTTAATGTGTTGTGATTGTAGGACCAGATTTCTCACACAGGAGATAATTGTACTGAAGATGCACCGAATGAAGGACATATTATTTCAAAGAGGTCATTTACTGAAGTTGGTCTAGATGAAGTTTCTGATAGCCAACTTCAGTAGTCTGCAACAAAGATCAAGAAGCTGATAAAGACTAAGAAAGATTGATGGCATTTTGTGCTTGGTTGAATCAAATTATGAAGCTATGTTTTTGTCTATGAATAATATGAAATAAATAAATATATAATGTTTAAATTAAGAACTTCAAGGGTATGTTTTTTTGGTTAAACATCTTTTATAAGACATTTTAATGGGAATATATATTTCTTTTCTATGTTTTTTTTTATCTATTTAGCCTTTTAATCTTAATTATTATTTTGTATGTTTTTTTTAAGAGCATTTAATATTGTATGGTCTTCTTACTGTATGGGGATTTCCACTTATTTCATCCTTTGTGCTCATGAAATTTAATTAACAATTGTCTTTTTTTTTTCATTACAATAACCATATTTATCTTCTTGCATGGTAGCTTAACTGATGATATTTCATTAATTTGGGTTGCATTCCATATTTAGTAGTTGACATTTTTATTGATTTATTTGTCTATTATTATATTTGTTTAAACTTTTGATGTTCTTAATTGTGATTTTATTTCACATTTTTATTTGAGGGCATTTAATATTGCCATACTGTAGATGCTAAATGTGGATCTCTACCATCTGAGAGGCAACTTCCAAGATCTTTTGGTGTAAAATAGTTTAGAAATTTCACGTTGTCATTACCATAATGTAATTGTGATCTTTTGGTTCAAGATCGATTAGAGGATGATGAAAGATGCTCACGTCTTGAGAAGATTGATCGCTTGCTTTTATTCTAAGATTACATTGATGACTTGGAGAAGGAAGAAGAGGAAAAGAAGAAGATACAGAAGGTAGAATACATTTTTATGATAATAAATTTGCTTCCAATATCTGCTCTTTACCTTTTTTTTTTTTTTGGTTGAATCTAAGGAACAATTGAGACATGCTGAGCAGAAAAATCGTGATGCATTTTGCCAGCTAATGGAAGAATATGTTGCTGATGGCAATCTAACTGCTAAAACTTACTGGCTTGATTATTGTTTGAAGGTATATCCCCTATTTAATTTTCTTCCCTTAAATATTTGAAGGAGAGCGGTTGAAATCTAGCATTGCAAGGTATTGCATTTTTGCATCAGAAATAGATCCTAGCACGAATTGCTTTTCTTGCTTCATTTTATTATGTTTGATCAAATGAAATGGTTTTAGTGATTCAATATCTAAATATTCTTGCAATTCAAACATTAAGGG